ATATATATATATATATATGTAGATATATATATATATATATGTAGATATATATCTACATATAAGCTGTGCACTAATGTTTTTGGTGGCAGGAAACTCCTTAGCCCATAAAAGAATACAATAAAATAAAAAAATCCATAAATTTGCCATAGCGTTGTATAAGCTGTGGTGTTCAAAGCATGTGAAAAAAGTAGCGGCTTATAGACCAGAAATTATGGTACTTTTGTTATCAATTCATCCATGTTTCTTGGATATTTGCGTCACCGTCCTCCTTGTTCCCTCCATGTCGTCTCTTCAGGAGGACAGCTCAGACCTGAAGTGTCAGCTCCACTTCGCCAAAGAGGAGTCGGCTCTGATGTGCAAGAAGCTCACCAAGCTGGTGAAGGACAGCGAGGCCATGAAGGAGGAGCTGGCCAAGTACAGGTCACTGTATGGAGACGTCAACGCCTCCCTCACCGTGGAGGAGGTGAGAGGACGAGGAGGTGGTCGTAAAGACCGTGGTGATGTCTATGAGTTCATCCGTTAAGGAGTTCCTTCAGATTGATGATGGTCAGGAAGTGTGAGAACAGCTCTCTGAATTGTGGCACAAAGTCGTTAAACGTCACCTCTTTACTCCCTGTTCTCCAAAAGCATGTTAAAGGAAATCTAACACAAATTTTCCTTCTTTTTACTGTATTCAAGTCTTAATGAACTAACGTTTATGGCTAAAATAAAACAGACTGATTGGTCGTAGTTTGAAAATGATCACCCAATTTAGTGCCAATAAAAACCTTGAAAGGCTCATGCACTTTGACAAGAAGGTACAGAAAGATTATGGAGAAAGGAAATTATTTTAGAACCTATCAAAACACTAATAACTGAAAATAGAAGAGTATTTTACTTGAACTTTTTCTATTTTATAACCACTTGGTATTGTCATTTTTTCTCTCATAAACATTTAAACGTCTGTCAGTATCAAGGACATGGATTTGACTTGTGACATTTTATTTGCACCGGTTTATTCATGTTTTTTTTTTTTTAAACACTTAAATAATCCTAACAACCCGACACCTTCTGTAAAAATAGAGCGTTGTGGAGGGAGGTGTGCAAACGTTTCTCTTCTGTGGCTCTCTGCAGGTTGCCGACTCCCCGCACACCCGTGAAGCGGAGGTCAGAGTTCACCTGAAGCTGGTGGAGGAGGAGGCCAACCTGTTGAGTCGACGCATCGTGGAGCTGGAGGTGGAGAACCGAGGCCTGCGGGCGGAGATGGACGACATGAAGGGAACACAAGGTGGCTCTCGTTATCAAATTCACTTCCTAAAATGATTCCTGAGAAGTTGTTCATGCTGGAAGAGTAAAGGGAAATCACTTTGTTTGCTTTGTCATTTTTAAATATATTTAGATTTTTAGAATTGCATCAGAAGTTTGCAGTCTTCCAGATGTTGAATCTTTTTGTAACCTCTGACTGTCTTCATCCCCAGATGGACCTCAAGATCTCGCAGGTGCTGGTGGTAGTCCGGTTGGAGGGCTTGGCCTCACAGGAGGGGCTGCGGTGCTCGGGGGAGGGGCTTCATCTGAAAACATCATGGAGCTCCAGAGACACCTGCAGTTCGTGGAGGAGGAAGCAGAGCTCCTGAGACGGTCTCTGATCGAGATAGAGGAGCAGAACAAACTCCTGATGAACGAGATCAACCGCTACAAGTCCGAGCTCCCACCTACAGCGTCCACGCTGTCGTCCAACTCCCTGATGTCGCTGACAGACGGGCTGCTCAACGACAGCCCCTCGCACTCCATACAGGAAGGGGCGGTGCTCATCAGCACGGACACCCCGACTCATGAGGAGGAGCTCAGCGTGGCGAGGCTTCAGATTGGAGAGCTGAGTGGGAAGCTGAAGAAGCTTCAGTACGAGAACCGTGTTCTTCTGTCCAACCTCCAGCGCTGTGACCTTGCCTCCTATCATGCTCCTTCCTCCTCGTCCTCGTCCTCTTTGAGACTGTCTCTGGAGACAGATGCAGAGGCAGGGGATTCGGCTGAATGCCTCCCCTTCAGGTATTGATGCATTTACATAAAAAACGCAACATATAATGGGTAGTCCTGTCGCGATGAGCAATAAATCAATTAATCGCATGATGAATGAAATATATCGACATCATTTTCATTTATCGGCTTTATCTTTTCTTCGTCTCTCTCTTTCTACTAAAGACACTGGATGACAAAAAGCTCAACTCCGGTGCTCTTCACTGACCCCTCCCTTTCTCTTTTCTCTTTAAGATCTGTCTTAACCGTCCAAAATTGCGTTTTTGGATCGTTAAAAGCAGCTAAGCTGAAAAGCTAAGCTACGAGCTAAGCTAACAGGCCGACCTCAGGAAAAAAAAACTCTGTCTTGTCAAAGCTCCAAAATTCACTGTTGAAACCCGTGCCTTCGTGTAAAAAGTTGTTTTTCTCTGCGAAAAGAAGTTGAGAACTTGTTTACTGATTTTTTTTAAATTAAAAGTTTTGTGTGAAAAATGCTAAAGAGCTCAAACCACACTGAGCATCCGCCATTTTGAGAATCGAAGAGAGACAGACCATGTCACGTCAAGGAGCCTCCCTCTTTTCTTAAGAGACACACTGCTCGCTCCCTCACTATCCATCCATCGGTTCAAACAGTCTTATACTGCCATCCGGTGGTCCAAAAAAGGTACTACACACAAAACAAATCAACATTTCTTCTTAAATTTGACAATAATTACTAATTATTGTCGAATTTCAAACAATATTATTGTTTATCGCAATAATTTCTCAGACAATTAATCGCCCAGCAAAATTTGTTATCGTGACAGGCCTAATAATGGGTACTTTCTGATCAGAAATTCATCACAAGCTTCATGGAGTTATATCTAAAACCAGAAACCTGTTTCCCCTCAAAGTCCAGGCTAGTTCCCCTCCACCGAATATTACACATTTGAATTTCCAAGAATGTGTACAATCATATGTACAGTAAATCAAACAGCTTTATACGAGTTCTTTCTGTAAATTTGAGCTCAACCTTGATTTTCCAACACCTGCATAGCTGCTGCCCTTATAGGAAAGCATCTGTAGAAAATGCATATACCGGTATATAAAAGTCTGGTAGTGTCTCCTTTGACACACTTTAATGATATTTAAATCATGCTGACCATACACAACTCTTCTATACTGAAGGAAGCAGAAAGCACAAGGCCTTTATTTTCATTAGACTACAGTAAGTGACCTTCAGCTGTCCTAATTCTTTACCCACCTGAAGCTGAATTAGAGGAAATATTTCATTGAAGTGCATCTACAGAAAAAAACATTCTAGACAAATGCACTCTGAATGTAGGTGAAAGAAAACTATTCAAAGTATTAACAAATTGACAACATTTAGGACTGATTTTAAGATTAGCATGTGTTCATATGAGCAGCTATATCGTTTATTACGTCAACAAGTCAAACTGAAAGAGGCCAAATATTAATTAGTTTCAACCTATACCTCAAAATAAGAAGCAACAATTTGTGCTAATGATGGAAAAAAAAACTATGAGAATGGTCATCTAGTGTAAAATTCCTTACATCTTTTTCCCTTAAATCAAGAATAACTTGACTTTAGCAACTCAAAAAATAAATAAATAAATAAGTCCTAAAACTAACTGTTTATCAGCATTATTTAATAGAAACTGAAAAGTTAATCTTGGAAAACATGCCCACAGAATTGTTCGTTTAATTTCAGGCAGTAACTGTGATGGTTTTGTGCTTGAAAAATCCATTCTAAATTATTAGTAAAGACAAGTGTAGGTTAACGAGCTCTCTGTGTGTCTCCTTCAGCTCACCTCATCGCAAAGAGCCCGTGGGAGGAGAGAACGAACCCGTCGAGATCGACGAACAGAAGAAGAGGATCGAGCTCAAAGCTGATCCAGCAACTTCACTCCCCGGGTGCCTCGGGCACAAGGACCATGACGCCTTGTTGGCCATGAGGGACCAGGCTCGTTTGGTTTCCACGGCGATACAGCTACTGACCTCCCCCGAGTCCAACTGCCTCTCCTCGACCCCCTCAGTGTATCACAAGGTCTGCAACAGCGAGGCAGCCGAGCCGTGCGATCTGGAGAAACTGCCTCGCTGCCAGGTGCACATCCTCTTTTCGCTGATTATTTCACTTGAACTTGTTTTAGTTGTTAAAACTATTTATCAGACTGTTTACCACCAGAAAGTACTTTTTCACCCATTTCATCGCGATTCAGCTTCTCCGACCAGTGTTTTACAATTCCCTCTGACAGTTTTGCTGATATCCCTACAGCTTATCACTCATCAAATCGTCATGGCAGCGAAATAACTTGAATTTCTTTTCTTCAGATTTCAGAGCTGTCTGATGTGACGGACCGCCCTCTGGTCGGTGCTCTGACCAGCAGGCTTCAGGCCCTGCACTCCCAGCTGCAGGCCTTCGTGGAGCAGGTAGACAGCCTGGGGAAAGCTCCATCAGGGGGGAGGCATGCTCAGGTGGAAGGCGTTTCTCCTCCGCCCTCCCCCTGCTTGTCCATCCCTTCCGTAGAGGATCAGGATCAAGAGAACAGAGTCAAGGAAAAGGTAAAAGACACGAAGCTCAATCCTCTCCTTTACTTCCCGTCACCATTTTTTTTCTTTTGTTTTTGTCTTTTTTTATTATTTAGTGTTTCTTTCAGTTGTTGTCTTAGTGCCTAAACTTTATTTTAGCCGACTAACACTCTCAATCAACCATCCCAGCAGCGTGCTCAAACTTGAGGGACCTTAGCCAAACTATTCAAATTAAATTATTTGGACACTGCTGATAAATGACCAACAAGATTGGCGTTAAAAATACAGACAAGCATCCCTGCCTTTGCATTTCAGGTCGGTCATGTTTGAGCCGTCACTGTAAAAGTCACCGTGTTCTCTGCATGCTGATAAAACTCCTCCTAACCTGTCGAAATGGGCGTTGGGCCTCAAATGGAGCCAGTTGTTCAGATGAAATGAGGTTAAAAGTACCGTTCGTCCATTTTTATCAGTTTTAAATATAGGGTTAATGTCCACTGTGTTTCTGTGTCAAATAGATTTATATGGATTTATTTTTGATGGCGTTGAGCATCATGAGTGAATCTTAGCTGGGATTTGTAGTGTTAACTTTCTGTTTCTAAAATATTTGATTAAATGCAGAGACTTTAATGGAAACTTTTAAGCATTGTTTGTTACTGTAGCTATCAAAAAGTTTGAAATATATTTATCATTGCCATTAAAAATGTAGATACATATATCAGACAAAGATTTAAAAATATAGTAGTTCCTCCCTCGCTACTTCGCGGTTCGTTTTTTGCAGACTCGCTCTATCGCGGTTTTTCAAAGTAAGATTGGACATGACACACAATGGCTCATTGATGAGCCGCACGATCGGCATGAAATATTTATTTAAAATAAATTATTTTAAATGATTAGTACCTGTGTGCAGCCCACAGCTGTGGGAGAAGCGTCCTCCTGCAGCTGATCAAATGATCTACGTGCAGAGTGGAGAAGTGGGCGTGGCCGAGAGTGTAGCCAGAGGCAGAGAGCTGAAATCATGACATGCTGAGTTCTTTTAGAAATAAACTACTACTTACTTTGTGTACTACTATTCCTACTTGGTGGTTTTTCACTTCTTGCGAGGCTTCAGGGTACGGATCCCCTGTGATAAATGAGGGACTACTGCATTAAACAGCACTGATGTTCCAGAGGTAATCCTGAGGAAAAACAGATTTCTTAAGTTGAAATTTGCTCTAAATAGTTTTTCATGAGTCCTATCTTCCATTTGAAACGCACCACTGGGATGCCTCTGGGTTCGAGCTGATTGTCAGTGTCTTATCTACTGCAAGCCCTTAATGCATCTTCAGTTCTTCAACGATTCAGTTCAGGTCAGTTTATTTATAAAGCACCAAGTCACAACAGAAGTCGTCTCAGGGCACTGAACAGAAACATTCAGAAAATTTAATGGCAGATCTTTTTCTTGCTTTAGATTATTACAAATGTATTTAAAAAGTTTTAAGAACCCATAATGATTTCCTTAATAAAGTTACTGGATTTATGTTCGTTTAGACTAAAATAGAGACAGTTGGAATTAGTTTTTCTGCTTCTGAATCATTTTTCAGATCTGATTTAATTGACCTGTTTGAAGGAAGCTGTGAATAAACTGGAAATATGTAACAATAACAAACTTAGACTCCATTAGAGGCCGTTTCCAACCCCTTCAACCTCTCCTCCCTCTCTTGTCCCCCCCTTCCTGTCTGCACGGGCATCATAATCAATGGATTTCTGCACATACTGTTCCACGTTCTCACTTCATGCACCTCCTTCTCACACGTTCCTCCACCACACCGTCCTCTGACCTCTTCTTGCTCATCCCTCATCGTCTGACTTCCTTTGTTCCAACTGTCCCGTCTCTTGGTTTTTAACATCACTTGTTTGTCCCTCTTCCTCATCATTTTCTTTCTGCTTTGCCTTCCTCCGTTCTTTTTCCTCTTCCTCTTCATTTCCTTCTGTAACTCAATGTAATTTTGATCCTTTACCCCTTTTCTTGTGTCCTCATCTATTACCACATCTCCTCCTCTCCACTCAGCTGCTCATTCTCCTCCCCATCCTCCTTTTCTGTCTTTTTTCCACCCTCTCATTTTCCTCATTGATCAAGCTCTTTTTCTTCTACATTCTTTTCATTGTCTTGTGAGTCATATTTTTTTATTGTCACATGGATGGACACCATTTTGGTTGTCTTGTTTTTTTTTTCTCATTGTTGTTTCGTTGTTGTTTGTCTGTTGTCCTCCATTTATTTTTATTTTATTTCCCTCCCAGAATGTCTCCTACATCCTCTGTTTTTTTTTTCCTGTGATGTTTTTTCTGTTTCTGTGTTTGTTTTTGTTCTTTCTTCATTAACTTGCCCATGCATGCATGCAGCAGCCCGATTATAGGGACCAAGCAGAGCCAGACGTGAACGATGAAACAAAGGGGAACCGCCAGGCTGTCAGCAACGAGTCGCAAAATCAGAAAAGCGGCCAGATGGAGCAGGAGAAGGAGACAGATCATGCACTGGTAAGCGCAGCCATAAACATGACAGCTGCAATCATCTTCTGGAGGCCTGATGTGTCTCATGGCTCATGGCCAACACCTGAAATCCATGTTTTAATACAAAAAATGCTCTGAAACACAGAAAGACCAGCTCTTAAATATGGCTGCCCTGCACTGTAGCAACTCTCAGTTGTTGTATAGAATAAAAGTTCGGTACCACTTTACAATAAGGCTCCCCTTATAGCTGGCTAATAAATAGCATATAGATTAGGGGTACACCGATTTATCGGCCCATATTTCCTTAATTTTGGGAAATCGGAAATTGGCCGATACTTGCATGAGAAACCGATTTTACCGATTTTTTTAGTTTTAACAACAATTGTCTGAACTTCATTTATATTTCAGAGCACTACCTCATGGCCAGTTAAACCAGTTTGTATTGTTTCTAGGATATTGTTCAAGGGTATGTTTTTCAATAAAATAAGATTAGAAAATTGAAGGTGCATTGTGAACTTATAACACCTGACATTGTCGCTTATAAAACTAAATCGTATTGGCAGGTCAGACTTTTTAGAAATCGGTGATCGGCCAGAAAACTGCAATCGGTGCACCCCTACTATAGATACATTATTAATTACTCTATAAACACTTTATGAATGATTAATAACTGCTTATTATGCATTATGCAGAACCATGATGTTGAAAGAACCTCACTGCTAACCGAATCACACTGTAGATGTATTTAGTTTTTCCAACTTTGGCGCCTTGTTTTTTAGTATTTTAGAAGTATTTTTTAATGTTTTTTAGTATGTTAGTAGTATATTTTTTTAATTTTTTTAGTATATTAGTAGTATTTTTTTAGTATGTTAGTAGTATTTTTTTAGTATGTTAGTAGTATTTTATTTTGTATGTTAGTAGTATTTTTTTAATGTTTTTTTAGTATGTTAGTAGTATTTTTTAATTAGTACGTTAATAGTATTTTTAGTATGTTAGTAGTATTTAAAAAAAAATTGTACGTTAATGGTATTTTTTAGTATGTTAGTAGTATTTTTTAAATTAGTACGTTAATAGTATTTTTTAGTATGTTAGTAGTATTTTTTTAAATTAGTACATTAATAGTATTTTTTTTTAGTATTTTTGCTGCATGCTTTGGTATTTCTTGTTGTTTTCTTTTTCTTTTTTTTTGGCGAGTCGAGACGGTTCTTCTTGTCCTAAGCATCCAAATTTTTAAACACCAAATTTTTTTTACGATATAATATTGTACTTTTATCACTGCATTATAAGTATCTACAACAATAGATACTTATAAAGCAGTGATAAAGTACAATATTATATGCTAAAAATAGGTTTTACAAATGCTTATTGTACTCACAAGGTAGTCTGAAATGTTTAATATAATAACTCTAGATGAAATATATAGGTGAACAGATTTGGATCACTATTTGGCAAGAAACTGGCCAGTTTTGTCTCTGTCACCCTTAATTAATGCATAATAAGCAGTTATTAATGATTTATAAAGTGTTTATAGAGGAAATAATAACATATCTATAAGCTATTTATTAGTCAGCTATAAGGGGAGCCTTATTGTAAAGTGGTACCAAAAGTTCCTATAAACAGTGATCATGTGACAAGATAATTAACCTCTAGTTGACTCTAGTTGGTCATAATATTATGGCTGATCTTAATTTTTTGTATTTGCTGCACTCAGCACCACAAACCATACGTTTTTCCTTCATCTTAAATGTATTAGCAACAATTTAACGCTGATATTTGCAACAATAGATTATTGTCTTAACAAAATGATAGCATTCTTTATGGTAAACTGGAAGATCTTCTGCATTTGTTTGGTGTTTAGAGATTCTTTATTGCCTTGTAACCGAAAGTTATGACAAAAAGAATGATTCAACGTTCATGTTTGTCAGATTGTGAGTCCTATATAGAGTTTATTACAACTGAGCCTGCAGTTTTAGGCTTTACAAAGACGTAAATATATTCAGATTTTCTATTTTAGGTCTAAAATTCATTTAGTTACCGGTACGTCTTAAATTTGTGTGTTTGTTCATTTGTTGCTTCTTTCATTAAGTTTTTTTAATGCGCTGTCGGCATCCTTTGGTTCTTTGGATTTTACTTCAGTCTTAGGGTTTCAAAGGTTTTTATGCAAAACTAATAGTAGTTTATTTTGTTGATTTGGCTTAAATTTAGATTTGATCGAAAGACAATAAAATTTGATATTTTGGAATAAATATTTACTACTTAGTTTTGTAATTTATGTAGGACCTAAATTTGAATTCCTATGGTTTTCAAGGGGTCTTTAATAGTGTTAAATTTACTATAATTAAATTGCAGAAACCTTGTTAGTCACAACAGCGTGGTTCTGTGGGCCACGTTTCTGCTTGTCTTCTTGTCAAATAACTTTTTAAAATCAGATTAGGGCTTGTAATGTTTTACTTGACTAAAGCTATTTGCTTTTTTTCTGCACAAGTAAAGAATTTATATGAACAGTTTGAATATTTTCAATGTCAATAGCATTTATCTAGTCAGAGTCTCTGGTAAACATTTACTATACGTATCCTGATGCATGCTCAATAATCCAGGTAGAAAAATCCAAGAAAGTTCAATCTGGTTCTCTGGACATTCAAAAAAACAAAAAACAAAACAAAGCAAAAAAAAAATGTAGAAACGTTTCGTCTCTCATCCAAGAGACTTCCTCAGTCTGAGCTGCTGTTTTCAGCTCAGTCTCTTAAATAGCACCTTCTCAGAGTGGATCAGCCAGTTTTGCTGCTGACAACCAAAACCAACTGATCACATGCTCAAGAAGGACCATCAGCCTAACAAAGGATCATTAGCACACTGATGGCTGTTTACTATTCAAAGGGGGTTGAGTGATACCAGCAATCACAGCATTGTAAGAGGGGGACAATTGAACCCAGAGGCCTCCACCCCTGTTTAATGATGGACGGTTTCTTTTCACAAAGATGGCCTCCTTTACTCTTCTCTCAAACCATCGTTCCTCTCTGTCCAGGATGTGAACATCTTCATCCTTGAAAGAGTGACCGCTGGCCTGGAGATGAGTGTAGACCGCAGAGTCCTGGCCTGATGATGTTGATAGTAGCTGAACTCAAATTATTATTCTTTATGTATTCTATCATCAGGCCAGGACTCTGCGGTCTACACTCATCTCCAGGCCAGCGGTCACTCTTTCAAGGATGAAGATGTTCACATCCTGGACAGAGAGGAACGATGGTTTGAGAAAGGAGTAAAGGAGGCCATCTTTGTGAAAAGAAACCGTCCATCATTAAACAGGGGTGGAGGCCTCCGGGTTCAATTGTCCCCCTCTTACAATGCTGTGATTGCTGGTATCACTCAACCCCCTTTGAGTAGTAAACAGCCATCAGTGTGCTAATGATCCTTTGTTAGGCTGATGGTCCTTCTTGAGCATGTGATCAGTTGGTTTTGGTTGTCAGCAGCAAAACTGGCTGATCCACTCTGAGAAGGTGCTATTTAAGAGACTGAGCTGAAAACAGCAGCTCAGACTGAGGAAGTCTCTTGGATGAGAGACGAAACGTTTCTACATTTTTTTTTTGCTTTGTTTTGTTTTTTGTTTTTGTTTTTTTGAATGTCCAGAGGACCAGATTGAACTTTCTTGGATTTACTATACGGTTTTTGATATTGCATTCTCAATAAGTCATTAAGCAAATGAGCTCACTTCTTCAGTGTGAGTGCATGAAAGTGACGGTGTATTACAGTAACGTCCAGCTCACTTTACCAGCTGTAAACAAAATGAGCAGAGGCTTCACTGTCAGCCGGGGAGCTGACAGGAAGCATACACCTCTGTTTGTTTGACTTTCTGCAGTGTCTCCATGACAACCGCGGCTCTACTTGTCTGCATCCTTCATGAGGGCGAGGACGACTGGGTCAGGGACACAATAATTATTTCAAATAGACCGAAAGGTAAAAGGCAGAAACAGAGCACATAGCCAGACAGGAAACCAACACCCCAAGTTTTCATAAACCCAGATTTTGTGTCAAGTATACTTCTGCAGATTATAATCTACAACATAAAGAATAATAATTTGAGTTCAGCTACTATTAAATTATGCCTTTTATTATATTTTGTGCTTAGAGGTGTATTGTTACACCTTCTGAACAACAATCATCATTTAGTGTCCATGTTTTACACTAAACATCAAGCTAAAAACAGACCAACTATCAAAGAACACCAGCTACAACCTGGCTGGATGAATGGATGGATGGATGGATGGATGGATGGATGGATGGATGGATGGATGGATGGATGGATGATTTTGATTAGCCTATTTTGTATTAGCAATGCTTAGTTTAGCGAAGTTACACTTAAAACCTCTCAAGGTTTTAATTTATGTACTTAATATTTTAATATTCATTTAAATTACATAGTGGGTAATTTTGTATATTTTTGCCTAGTTTGTCAAGTTTGTTTTTGTTTTATTTAGTTTTTTTCATAGAATATTAGCCCAATGTCACACACTGACAGCATGTTGAATTATTTAACCCTCTTTACATATTTACGCGTAACACGTCGTCTAATGCTGTTGTTCATTTTCACTGATCGTTTATCACTTCATCACAGCAGCGAGTCATTAAAGTCAGAGTGCAGTTTTTCAGGCTGACTGTGGGGGCAGTTAGAGGCAGGGTGGTGCTCCTGATGGAGGGTGATGGAGGAAAGAATCTGAGCCAGTTGGAGGGTAGAACAGGACATTAATGGTACAGTGGTGGGTCGATGCTTTGCTCTCACTCAGCAGCTTAATGAGCTGTGGGAGCGTGCACGAGGAGAACTGTGTGAAGTCGTACTGTGGCAAAGAGCTAAAATGGGATTTAAAAGGTGCTGGAGCGCAAAAATATTGTAACAAATTTCACACTTAGCACTTTATGAATTTATAATTATAAATGCCCCCATTTTTCTTATTTATTATACTTGTTTGGTCTCTGTTGTTTTATCCGGTGCTACGTCACGTAGTTTTCTGCCATTCTTTCTTTCTTTTCTGTTTTTCTTTGTTTCGTCGTTCTTCTTGACCTGTCTTCGTTGTCCCCCTGTCCATGCAGGCCAGTGTCCAGTTGTCCAAAGCAGAAGAGTCTCAGGAGGAGCTGCAGACAGAGAGGCAGAATTACAAAGAAATCAGTCTCAAACTCTTACAGGTCTGTTTGCAAGTCTCTGTGTCGCATTTTCTTTTCTTTTTCTGAGTCACGTTGTGTTCCTCTCGCCCGTATGTCTTCTACAAATTAAGTCTTGATTGAAAGATGTTGTTTAGATAAGGACAAACCTAAACTTGTTTATTCTCCTCCTTGTCAATTACTGTAATTTCCTGACTATAAGCTGCCACTTTTTTATGCCGCCAAAACATTTAGCCTCGTCACACCCGGGCACTCACATAGCTGACCAATATACGTCTCTCTTGGGGGGGGGTGGGTCCTCTTGATTCAGTGAGACTACCTGTATAAATAAAGGTTAAAAAAAATCTGACCAGTGAAATTACTGAACAGGTCACAGTGGATTGGGCCACCTCCCCATTCTCTCCTCCCCTCCCCGTTGTGCCCCAGGCAGGGGGTGAAGTATTTGCAGCCACTTGAAATAAGTATGAACCATGCATTATAATTGACAGTACAAGCTGTCCTCCATCCTCTTTTCTCCGGCAGTGCGCAGGAGGAAGATGAAAATAGCGATCAATGACTTTTCCAAGTAGGCTACTGTATTTATTTATTTTTTAACCAGCCAAGCACTGTTCAGAAATTTAAAAAAAAAGCATTTACTGTATGTATTATTGTATGTTATTGGTACGTATTTAATTAAAAGTAAAAAAAAAAAATTGGTGTAAATATCTCATGTTACAACATGAACATCTGTGGCTTATAGATAAGTGTGACCGATATACTGTATGTACAAATGTTGATTTTTTTATTATTTTATTTATTGGGCGTGGCTTATAATCAGGTGCGCTCAATAGTCCAGAAATTATGGTATCTTGTATTTAATAGTTTGAAGTCCAGATCTTTTGTATTATCTGCAAAATAATAAAATGAATCTGAGCATTTTAAGATGTCAACAGCAACTAAATATAGTTTTTCCCTGTGACTCTTTTTTTTTGTTTGTTTCTTCTTTTTTGTAAAATAATGGCTTGTTAGCTGATTTATTAGAGTTAAAACAACCAGAACAAAATTCAAAATCAGCAAAACAGTAGCTAAAAGTTCAAATCTGTAAAACCATAGCTAAAAGCTAAATGTAACAAAACTGTGGCAACAAGCTAAAGAATAAAAATACACAAATTAAATTATAAATAGGTTGATTTTAGGAAACGTTTTTGATGAAATTGAAAATGCCGCAATGTATTTTAATGGGGGAAAATATTGGTAAGTAAAAGTAAATAATTCAAAAAGTATATAAGGTACAAATACTAAAAGTCCTAGCACAGTATTCCTGATTGAGCCGAACATTTAAATGTATGAAGCACAAAATATGCAGAAGTTATTGATAGCAAAAAAACTTAGAAAAAACTATAAACAGAATTACACATGCCGTCATCCTTAAATATGAAAATTAAAAAAGTTGCTTTGATAGATAAACTTTCAGCAGAAGCAAACAAAGGTTCGGCTGTTAACCAGTCTTGAATCTTCTCTCCCATTCAGCTCCAGGACGAGCACCAGAAGGCCTTACTCCGACGGGACTTCCAGCTGCAGAGTCTGGACCTCCAGGCTCGGCATCAGCAGAAACTGTGGAACCAGGAGAGGACTCTGCTGGTCCAGGAGTCCCAGCACCTTAAACAGGCTCTGTTACTGCTCAGCCTCAAACTTCGCTGCTTCCTCAAACAGTGGAGGCTGGGCTGCAAGAAGGACGCAGAGTGGAAGGACGTGCTGGAGGTGTGAGGAGAAGGAAATAAAACTATTAGCTGCTAGAGTTTGTCCATGTTAGAATATGTTTTTTGAACGTATAGTTTTGTTTGAGTAAATCTACGATGAGATGGTGATGATGTCACACTGTGATTGGTTCTTTAGATGAACAGCCTGAACGATCTGTATATGTTGTTGGAGGACGAGAACCTGTCCGGCCCCACGAGCCAAACAGACAAACGAGATTCTGCAGAAGAACAGCCGCTCAGTCCGACGATAAAGGTAGAGATGGCAGCATGTGCACATACACTCTGAGTGAAACACATTTCCCCTAAACTCACCTGAGACTGGATAACAAGACAAAATACACGTTCACTGTCCCAAAATCTCCTTTCACACACACAAAGATGCTTTGATTTCCTGTTTCCCTGCAGTCGAGTGCTGTGAGCAGCACTTTGGCAGACCTGAGGGTAGCTCTGCAGGATCTGAGTGCAGAGCTGAGACAGGAGAGACAAGGCTCCCAGGAACTCACTCAGCAGTTTGCTAAGGCCAAGGCGTCCTGGGAGGTGGAGAGGACCGAGCTGAAGAGCCTCATCACGCAGGTAACAAGGAAGACGCCCTGCTGTCAGTAACTTCATTAAAGTAGCGTGTGCCACTTCTATAATGTATTGCTGGCTAATTATGAACTAAGTTTTAAATTTGTTTAATATTGTGGGATTTCTGGGTTTTGTCCAGTCTTTTCTGTTTCCTCATGTTTTCATTCACCCATCAGTGTTCCTCCTCCTGTCTCACCTGTGTCTAATCCCAATCACCACAGGTGTTTGTCGTTCGTCCTCATCAGTGTCTCTATTCATTCAGCTTCCTTGTGTCTTGTCATTTGTCTCTGGATTGTCCTTCCTATGGCTGTTGTGATCTGTCTCCTTGTGTGTTCTCCTTAAAGTAAGTTAGCTGCCCCCGCCAGCATCTTGTTTTGTTTATTTACAATAAACTTTATTACTTATTTTACCTGGAGTCTCCCGTGGCCTTCCTGCACGCGCATGCAGCACGATTCAAGCCAGATCATGATAAATATTCAACAGCCAAATAGGACAACTTTTATAAACAAAGGCGGGAAACTGATTAAGAGAAAGATAAGATTAATTTTGTGAATTTTTAAAGGGATGTACTGTAGTCCCTCGTTTATCGCGGGGGTTTCCATTCTCAGTCCACCTGCGATAAGTGAAAAACCATTAAGTAGGAATAGTTGTACAAGTAGGAAGTAGTTTATTATTTTATTGTGCTTGTACACACATATGTTTATAAAAGTTGTCCTATTTG